TCCCTCCGGGGCCGCGCTGCCGCTCGGGCAGCCCCGGGAGGCGGCGGGGCCGGGGGTGGGGGGGCCGCCGCAGGTATTGTTTTGCAGAGCGAAGGGGTAATATATGACAGCGCAGACATAACAAGCAGCCTGTGGCTGCGCCTGTTTGTTGTTGCAGCGTGCCATATAACTTCTGGTGATTGTTACTTTTCCTCTGATGAAACCACGTATTTATAAGTGATTTATTTTTTATTTTGTAGCACAAACAGAAATCCATAAACTGTCGGTTCAGCGCCATTGACTCTTTGATCAGTTACTGGGCTATTTTTTTTCCCCCCCCTCTCCCGTCAGTGAGGAGAGATTAAAAGCCTTTATTTTCAGCACTCTTTCTGCTGCAAAGGTACGGAGCCTAAACGAACAATAAAAGTGTACTTAAAACGTATCCTCTTCGCTCCTGCATTCATCGGGAACGAAACTTATAGCTGCCTAAGTAAGCCTCTTAATTAGACTACTACAGCGATTTCCGAAAACATTTAGCCGCTATATACAAAGGAAATAAACCCACATTGTCAACTCGAGAGCGCTCCAGAGTTTAAAAGGCTCCTCTGTAACCCATTGAAATAATTACTGAAGGGTACAACGCCTTCCCCTTTGTCAGAGGGACTCTGCCTCTCCTGCAGCTCTGCCTTTCGCCGGGGGGGGGAAAATCACACTATTTTATTACTGGGGGGGGGTTGAGATCCGACCCGATTTTAGTGGAGAGAAGCAGAAAGTTTCCGCGACAGCTGATTATAGATAAACCTTTCCACTGAGAATAAGTTCACCAGTCTCATTACACTGCTATTAATGGGGTTTTGACTTGGCTGATTTTGCTATTTCCCATTTTTTATTCCCTGCTTGAATGGGCACATGGGGTATGCAGTCCCCCATGCGTGCCCCCCCCCCCCCCCCCCCCCCCCCAAAAAAAAAAAAAAAAAATTAAAAAAAAACCCCATCGTGAAATGTCTCTCCAGAAAAAAAAATAAAGTTGATAAAATCCAAAGCTAGTAAATAGCTTTCTGTCTTTAATTGCTGCGGTGCGACGCTGATAACACGTAGTTATCATCGGAAAAGTTGACCAAGACAGGTTAAATAATTTAATAAGGAACTGCTTGTAATTATGTTATTTACAAGGTATGACAGAGGTTTGAGGAAGAAACAGAAGCTGATCTCAGGGAAACGGACGGGTTTGGGTGACCCCTGGAGCACGGAGTTTGAATTATGGAGATGGGGGGCTGAGAGGTGAATATGGACTAGAGGAGAACAAGATGACTTTTCACCTCAGCACATTTAACTTTTAAATCCAAATAAACGTCTCGCGTTACTAGATCGTCGCGTTTAGAAAAGAAAAAGACTAATCCCGGCCAGTTTCGGAGCGCCTAAAGAAGAGGGCTGCCCAGTTCTCACCGAAGAAAAATATCACCAAAAAAAAAAAAAAGTTACAAAGTGCATTTAAAAATAAATCTGAGCAACTTGGTGTTTTGTTTTGGGTTTTTTTTTTCCTTTCCTCCCTCCGTTGCTAAATTAATTATATCAAACATCTGTTCACATGACGTTGTACTTAATGCCACACACACTATTTAATGATGCCAACGCTTCCTCGAATAGCAACAACACACCTTTTTCGCTTTGTAAAATACCCTCCAGTAATCGGTATCTGAATTACTCGCTCAGGTAAATTAAGAGTAGGTGCCGTCTATCGGCCTCATAGCCCCCCTCGCCCCCCCAGGCGAGGGCAAAATACAAACTTAGTAACTTGCGGGTTAAGAAAAGCGTAAACTTTCTCACCTGCTTGGTCATTGAGTCTATTAGACGAACATACAGGTCCTGCTCTGTCCTAACTCCTGGGGAGGGAAAGCAGAGACAAATTCCTATCAGGATTTCAACAGCGAACCACCCAAATTACATAATGAAAGCATGAGGTCAGGCAATTAACTGAGACGGACAGGGATCGGCACCCGCGCCAGGCTTAACAATAAAATTAAAAATAATAATAATAATTTTAAAAAGCCAGAAATCACCCAGTGACAGAGTTCTCGCCCGCTCCTGAACCTGGCGCTTGGGGGGCCGTGCCCCGGGAAGCCCCCCCGGGCCGCTTTGCGGCCGGACCCCCGGTCAGGGTTGGGGGGACCCCAGGCGAGAGCGGGGGCGGTTCGGGCGCTGGGGCGGACAGACAGCGCGTCCCCCCGCGGGAAGCGGGGCCGGGGCTCCGCTCTGCCCGCTGCCTGCGCTCACCCCGTCCCAATAATTACCATTAATTCGCAAAAGTGAAAAAAGTCACTTAAAAGTGATGTTCTGCTGGAGCAGCTATCGATCCCCTTTTTTACTTTCCACTTCAAGACCAACCGGTTAATCATGTGAAGTACCATTGACTTATTGATCGGTTATGTTTTGTTTTCCTTATATGCCAAGGAAAGAGCCGTGTTTACACGCGTGTAATTTTAATCTCCAAATCTTTATATCCTTTTCCAAAAGGCCTTGAAAAAGAAAGTAAGACTTTTCTGCGGCACACGGACGTTCAAAAATGAGGTAACGACAACTTACCATTGCTATACAATAACTGAAGTTTATAATGAATTCCATTGTTAGTTTTTTCATTGTTTGGCTCCTGCAAGTAACGATAAATAATTACATTTAGCATGAAAAATATCTCCCTCCTCCTGACGTACATTTTTCTCGTCCCCTGAAGCGGCTCGGAATTAACAGTTTGCAGAAATTCAGCCCACTTTGTGGAGCGCTGATGATGTCATTATCTCGGTGCAAATATGTCATGTTTAGCCGTTTTTCCTCGCGTTAAAAATAAGTCGGGGCCGCGGCGGTAAGTTTCTAACCGGGGGGATGTGTTCGGAGCGGCCGTAATAACGGGGGAACCCGCACGTGGTCTGAGCGCCTCTGGAGTACCGTTAGGGCTGCCGGGCTTGAAAATTATCTTTCGGCAATTAAATCACACTTAAACGGGTTTGTTTAAAAAAAAAAAAAAATAATAACAGGCAGACTTACTTTCTCTTTCTCCACAAAGTCCACAAAAGCTGTTCTCTCAATCTCCACCGGCTGCCCCTGCCTGTCGTACAGAGCTAAGACGAAGTGGAAAAAATTGGATTTTCTGAGATTGGAAGGCGGCTGTTTCTCGAAATGTGCCCGAGCCAGCCCCACGCCGCTGCGGGAGAAAACAAGACAAGGCGTGGGTGAGAGCGGCGGGGACGGGGCGCGCCAGGTCC